TGGCTCCTGCCTGCTGGATCTACTGGGGAAGGGTTCTGAAAAGAAACAATGGCCTCTGTCAGTATTTCTGTCTGAAGAAAGCTGCTTCCATGCTCTTGCTCTGATGCCAGACACTTCAGCTCCTCCTTGTATGCCTCTGGTGCCTTTCAAGCTGCTTCCTTGATGCTATAGCTCAGAGGGAGTTTTTTTTTTCAAGTAAGCCCATTCACTGGCCCTTAAGAGGAACTACCTGGGACTCCAGAAGTTTTTGTCTTCCTCATCCTCAGTCTCCACTGGTTTTTACAGCCAGAAATTATGGGGAATTATCTTCCTGTCAGGAATTCTGAGCAGGGGTGCTTTTGTTAGGCTGTGGCCCCTCAATCCAGAGATATCCCTCTCATTTTGTATCTACCACATGTGAATGTGGCACCACCCCATTCTGGATCTCTGCCCCACCTACCAGTCTTAATGTGGTTTCTTCTTTAATTCCATAGTTGTAGGAATTCCATTCAGCTTGATTTTTGGTGGTTAAGAATAATGGTTGTCAAGGAGGTAAAAGACCTGTATGCAGAAAACTATACAACATTGAAGAAAGAAATTAAGGAAGACACAAATAAATGGAAGCATATACCGTGCTCATGGACTGGATAATTAATATCTTCAAAGTGTCCATAATACCCAAAGCAATTTACAGATTCAACGCAATCCCTATTAAAATACCAATGACGTATTTCACAGAAATAGAACAGACATTTCAAAAATTTATATGGAAACATAAACAACTGTGAATAGCCACAATTTTTGAGAAAGAAAAACAAAGTAGGAGGGATCACAATACTGGACATCAAACTACACTACAAAGCTACTATACTCAAAACAATCTGTTACTGGCACAAGAACAGACCCATAGACCAGTGGAACAGAATAGAAAGCCCAGAAATAAGCCCAGGTCTATATGGGTATCTATTATTTGACAACGGGGGCAGAAGCATAAAGTGGAGCAATAATAGCCTCTTCAACAAATGGTGTTGGGAAAGCTGAACAGTTACATGCAAAGAATTGAAATTGGATCATCTGCTGATACCATACACAAAAATAAACTCAAGATGGATAAAACACTTTAATATAAGTCACAACACCATCAAAGTCCTAGAGGAGAACATTGGCAGGAAACTCTCAGATAGCCCACACAGCAATTTTTTTACCGATATGTCTCCTAAAACAAGGGACATAAAGGAAAGAATAACAAGTGGGACCTCATCAAAATAAGGAGCTTCTGCACGGCAAAAGAAAACATCAGCAAAATGAAAAGAGAGACAACTGTATGGGAAAATATATTTGCTAATGATACATCAGATAGAAGATTGATCTCCAAAATATATAAAGAACTCACACGACTCTACTACAAGAAGAAAATTGATCCAATCAAAAATGGGCAAAGCACCTGGGCAGACACTTTTCCAAGGAAGAGATGCAGAGGGCCCAGGGACATTTGAAAGGATGCTCGGCATCACTAGCCATCAGAGAAATGCAGATCAAAACCACAGTGAGATACTGCATCACACCGGTCAGAACGGTCATCATAAACAGATCAACAAACAGGTGCTGGCGAGGTTTTGGAGAAAAAGGAACACTAGTACACTGTTGGTGGGAATGAAGAGTGGTGCAGACATTGTGGAAAGCAGTGTGGAAATTCCTCAAAAAGCTGAAAATGGAACTGCCTTTTGATCCAGTGATTCCCCTGCTGGAACTATACCCTAAGAATCCCAAAACGCCAATTCAAAAGAACCTGTGCTCCCCAATGTTCATAGCAGCACAATTTACAATAGCCAAGTGCTGTAAGCAGCTTAAATGCCCATGAGTTGATGATTGGATCAAAAAATTGTGGTACATTTACACAATGGAATACTACACAGCAGAAAGAAAAAAAGAACTACTACACTTCGCGACAGCATGGATGGAACTAGAGAGCATTATGCTAAGCGAAGTAAGCCAGGGGGCCAAAGACAAGTATCATATGATCTCACCTATAAGTGGAACCTAACCAGGAAAACAAAGATGCAAGGAAAAGAAGACCAGCAACACTGAAGAAAAAATAAACCAACAGAGACAAGAGGGAAGGAGGGAGCGGGCGGGGGGGGTGGTGGCGGGGGACAGGGAGAAGGAAGGGAAGGCGCAAGTCAAGGAACATATAGCAAGGACTCATGGACAAAGACAAAGTGGGGAAAGATTTAGATGGGGGAAGGAAAAATGATCGAAGGAAAGCGGAGACAAATGTATTTGAAAAAAATAATTAATTAAAAAATTAAAAAAACAAAGATAACAAACAAACAAAAAAGAACATATAGTACATATATACAATGGAAATTTACTTGGCCATATAAAAGAATGAAATATTAACCATTTGTGATAGCATTGATAAACCTATAGGATATTATGCTAAGTGAAGTCAGTCAGGCAACACAAATACCGTATGATTTCACTTACATCTGGAATTGAAAGAGCAAAATAAATGAACAAATAAAATAGAAAAAAAAAGAATAATGGTTGTTCTGTAGTTCACTTGTAATTTTCATGTGGTTGTGTGAAAAGGTGAGCTGTGTTTACTTACATTGCCACCATGAAAGAAGTCCAAGAAACATCAAAGAACAATTCTAGCTCTTTTTCAAAACCTCAGACTGAGTTATATGAGTTGTTGACTTTACCCAAGATCCCTTGCATACGGGTCCATGTAATAGACATGTAATATCTCTTAGAGTTTAGCTTAGCAAAAATCTTTTTTTCCATTTATCAGCAATGAGAAACTTTTTAAAGGAACATATAAGTTTAGAATATACAATGTACTCTAGATATTCTATCTCTGATTTGTACACATAAATCTTCTCCATCACTGCAGTTCCAAGTGAGTCTGACAAAGATCATTCGGAATATCACATGGTCAGTCACTTGAGGGGCTCAAATTGCTGCCCCAGTAATCACCATCACTGGCTCCCCCATCCCCTTCCTAGTCAGGACAAGGAACTGACATGAGTAAATAACTGCTCATCCCCACTGAGTCTACTGTGTGCTTTTGGCCACCCACTGCCCTCCACCTGCTCGTCTCCTCAGAGTCCCACACACTGCCTGTGCCCGTGCCCTCGCCAGAATGCTCCAGGAAGTTTATATATTGTTTTAAACATAATATTTTTTCTCTGAGATATTCCACAATTATACTGTAGCTAAATTAATAAAATGAACTTAAAATAATAATTGCCAAATGAAAAAATACTACAAAACTAACAATGCTATAATTTAGCCTAATATTTAATGACCTAAAAATATAGTGTTTAATAATCTATTTTATTAAATCATTAATTTTTATTTTAATACCAACACATTAAAAATGCTTTTCTACATATCTTCTATATATGTTCCATAGCAATTATACACTGCATACTAACAACAGAGAATTGCATCAACAGCTTAAATGCTTTTATTATGAATGCCTTTCATTTCTCTGAAATAGGTCTTTTTTTAAAGGGAGAAAACAGGCTCTAACTCTTATTTTCTCTTTAAAGTTTTATTGTTTTAGCATTTTATACAGGGAGGGAGCATTAGCATACTCAGGAGAACTGCTGAAAGTAAAAGGCCTCCAGCTACCCACTGCCTGGCTGATAGGATAAAGCAGAAATATAAAAACTTTTGTCTGATTGCTCACTTTCCTTGTTTTAGAGTATTGCTACTCTCAAGAGCATATATTCATGTTCTTTCTACTTCAAGTTTTATTACTTCTTTTGTATTATTTAATACATCTAAAGACACTTCCAAAAGACAAATTTTTCCATTTTGAAAAGTCATGGTTTGAAACCCAATGAAACACATTATAGTTCACAGTGTGTTTTTTTGAAAAGATGATAAAGTAAAAGTGCTATAAAGCAATTAGGTACATGATCTTAAGGACGTTAATATGTCAAGTAAAATAAAACATTTAAAAAGTCAACAAAAATAATATTCTGTGAAAGGTCAAATGAAAGTAGGCACATATAAAGGCCACATTTCTCTTTCAGGTCTTCGATTAGATATTTAATTCAAAAATAGGGGAAGAAAATATAAAAATGAAAGAAAGTAATATATTTACTTCAATGACTTGAAACTGGAAATATATGATATTTAATTTTAGGAAGTACATATAGACATAAAGTTATAATTCAACCTAACAACTGAATGCTGTATATATTTGATTATTTGGATTCTAATTTTTCCCCTTGAATTCTAGGTTTTCCCAGGGTCAGTACTTTTTAGTAAACAAGAAACAGACATGCATAGCCTATGAATAAGGCCAGGCATTTTTTAAAGAGTTATACACATTTCCAAAATTCACAATACATCAATTTTTAATATATCTACTCTCTCAGCTCCATTACAAAGATGGTAGGGGAAAGATTTCAGAGTAATTAATGATATAGTTAGCTGCTAAATATTAATAGGAATCGTAGTCTTGCATAAAAAATAACATATAAACCTTGCCAATACAGACACACCAGTAATTAAAGTTGAATATCTAATTACACTAATTTATAAGACAGGCAAAAAGTTACACTTTTCTGGTTTATATGTAAACTGTGGGTAACAGTTGAACTTTGCATTTTATGGTTTATAAAAATGGGCAATATCTTGACTACAGTTTATAAATGGTTTAGAGACCTGTACTAGTAGTAAAAATATGCCAACTTACTCATCATAAATACTCTTATTGCACCATACAAGCTAACCTGTGATAATGACCCATAAGATATAGAATCATTTTAGACACTATATCCAAGAGAATGTTAGCAGCATTAAGAATTTGTGGAGAACTGTTATTACAATAATCATAGGACATTGGAGAGATTCTAAAAGAATACGTCAAATTTGATTTTGATACATATTTTCATATTATGAACATTGTGCAATTTAACTCCACTTAAGCTTGTATTTTTTTACTTATCATTCAAAATTTCAGAAGAATACTGAATTTCATAGAGTTTGTTAACTACACTTACATATGTGGCTGAGGTGAGCAGCCCGGACTACTGTTCCCATTGCTGTCAATGTGATCCAAGGAGCCATTGAGATCTTCATGGACTGCCTGTAGTAGGCCACTGGATGCATTATTGATCAGTCCGGTATTACTGAGCAAAGGTAAACTGCTCTCTGCCAAGGCAGCCTAGTGTAATAAAGAGGACGTAGAACAACTTTTGAACTGACCTTTAAAATATTTTTTAAAACATAAATCTTCTTTTAATGGGTTTGAATCATCAACATAGATATTTTAGAAGCATCTAAATAAAATGTATGGAAAGGACAGATTTCTAACTGGCAATTTGTGGCAGAGATACTGAGGAAATTAAGTGTGATATAAAAGTATAAAGAAATAGGTCTTCTAGAAAACTTTTTTTACTCATATTTCAGCCTTCCATATAATGAAATGCTGTATCCTCACATGTAGTGAAAAACTCCAAGATAATACATGCAGTTGTTCTGCGCTTTAAAAATGACCAGAACTTAACTCAAAATAAAGAAGTCCTGACATTTGCTTCCTCTGCATAAAAATTATATATTATAATTAAACTTTAAAGTTTTTGCCACAAGCACCATGTTCCCCAACACTATGATGTGAAATCATTTATGACAGCCTGGATAAATATTAATGCATAGCCACATGCATTTGCAAAGCTTCTATATCAATCTAGCATTTTCAGGAAAACTGAGTGTTCCAGATTTTGCCACAGGGTGTCCTTCTTGCTTCTTCACATCAAAAGTATCTTGAATTAGAATCTGTGCTTTCTATAGTACTAGGTACTACAACTTACTTAGATTATAAACAAACTATTAAGAACAATCACAATCCCACCTAAATCTAAAGTCATGACAAAAAAAAATTCAAATACAAGAATAATAGAAAAGTGCATTCAATTATTTTACCTGCAAACTGGCATTAAGAGCTGCTCCATAACCTAAACTGGTAGGTATATTTTTTACTAAGGTTGGGCTTCTGAAATTAAAAAGAAAAGATTTATAAGTCAAAATAGAAAACATCTAGATATCAATAATCTTAGCAAAAAGAAAAATACAGTCTGGCTTGTTTTCTCACACTCCTAGTCCAGAGTGGATGGATCTAAGGCCAAAGAAATAAGGTGATAGAATTCAAATATATAATTCTCTATATAGTATATATTGACTTGGTCCAGGAATATAAAGAATAAAATGTTAGACTATGGTGTTCAGGCAAACTGAGGCTTGACCTGTTTCTAACTACATAAATGTCTTATTTCCAAGAAGAACAACATTTCTATAAAATTAAAAAAATGTAAATATACAACACAATTACCAATTTGATACAATCAGGAAATAATTAATGGTTAATTTCTAGAACACTATAAATTAACATAACAAATTGTCATAGTTAATTAAATGACAACATAATGGATTAACTATTTCTTGAATACAGAAGTGAGGACATACTTAATTACAGAAATCAAAGGTGAAGAGCCAATAGTAGATAAAATACATTCGAGTCATGTCTTAACAAAAGGCA